TATTGAAAGGAAATTTTGCCCTAAGGCCATTACCTTAAATATTTTCAGAGAACGCAAATTCGACATCTGTACGTCCGGTGGTATTTCTTCAACATGGTTTGCTATGCACCAGTTCGATCTGGTTGCTCAACTTACCACATCAGTCTGCTGGTAACAACTTTGTGCCCAAAATAAGGCGACAAATTTTCTAAGAAAAATAGTAAACTTACTATTTGGAGAAAAACATTTGATTTAGTTAAAAGAAAACTAAATCTATACGGCTTTTAATTTACCCCAGTCCTATAATTCTGTTAGTCCTATACGCTATTAAATAATTTGTCTTGATTGCACTTTAGTGCATTCTTTTTCGCTTAACTTCTAAACATGAAAGAATATGTAAGAAAAAGTATTATATAATGATGTTACTTACCTCCCTACTATATTCATTCACGATTGAAATCCTACAAAATTTGCCTAGTTCCGCCCGTAACTAGGTTTTTCACAATCAATTTACCCATAAGTACAAACGCGCGTTCTAATTATCCGTAGTGCCAAATTCTCCTTGTTTCTTGTAATCTACTGAGTGATTTTAGGATTTATATTTGCTGATCAAGGCTTCGATGTATGGCTAGGTAATATGCGTGGAAACGTCTATTCTAGGGAGCATATATCTTCAAGCAGTGAATCGAACGACTTTTGGAAATTTAGGTGAGTACACACAAACTTAGCGAGACGGATCTTTCACTTTCTGCTAGCTTTACGTCAACAATTCTAAAGCTAGGTGAGATCGCGCTATCGCAGCTGCAAGGATTAAGTCAGATTGATTGCCGAAAAAAGAGAAATATTCGCTTTGCAAATTATCCATGACATCTAATTCTTAGGGGAAAGTAGCATACATAAGCAACCAATCACATATTTGCAGCAGGAAGTAGGACTGCGTTTCCTTACCATTTTATCCATCATCTTTCTCGGATGATATGCTTAAAACGCAACACTGCGTTAGAAAAAAAGTATTTACGACTTTGTTCCAGTTGGGAAGAAATGGCCGAATACGATCTTCCAGCAATGATCGATTACGTTCTTAATGAAACCGAGCAGACATCGCTTTATTATGTTGGTCATTCTCAAGGAACTTTGACAATGCTAGCGAAACTTAGCAAGGACCAAGAGTTTGCGAAGAAGGTATGAAAAATCAGTAGAAAGTTTTCCTGATTTTATTAGAAACTTTTCAATAAGTACTTCATTGCAAATAGTATTTGTATACAGTCTAGTTATTTAT